GATATAGTGAATGTAAACCCTTTTCAGCTCATTGAGTTCAGGCCATGGTTCCTTCCCAATACAACGGAGAAGTCCCGCCATGAATATCAGCACCAAGATCTTCTTCCAACAACTGGTCCTACTTCTAGTGCCACTGGTGTCTTTTAATTCGACCCAAAATGACACGGCATACCGATTTGCCGTCGACGTTTAACTGAATCACCAGCTTTTTCCAGCAGCCCCTGCAACCTAGCTCGTTCATGCCGGCCAAGGGCACTCATGCTGTTTGCAACTCTACCTTGATGTGTAACTCCTATACTACATTTAAATATTCTTCCTTCGTTCGATTTATTTCATCAACGAACTCCGATATGGAAGGGGAGCAGACGCACGCATTAGTGATATGCTTAGTCGCTATATCGTTCGGCCTGCTCTCTCACTTTGGTCCTTGCACATAGTGCTATTAAGGAAAAGGATGGTTCTATGCGGCTCTGTATTGATTGTAGGAAACTCACTGAGGTGATTAAGAAAGACTCCCTTCTTTTGCCACGTACTGATACAACTTTGGATACTTGGCCTCGGGCTACTGCCAAGTGGAGTTGCAGCCCACTGACAGAGAGAAGACTGTTTTCACAGTCCCCTTAGGGCTATATGGGTTTGAGACCATGCGCTTCGGCTTAGCCAGAAAGACGTCAAGTTCAACTGGTTTGCTGACTGTGCAAACAGCTTCCAGACGCCTAAAGAGAAGCTTTGTTCTAGCCCTATCTTTGCTTTCCCTAGGGCTCATCGCTGCTAACGAGTGCACCTGCACTGACGGTGGTCTCTGGGACAGCCAAGCACAGGCAACGGCAATGGCGGCTGTAAGGACGTGCGCAAGCACCCGTCTGGCCAAGCACCTTTCTAGGTGCTGTGATGGTATACGCGCTGACACTCCAGACCCGGCGCCCTAGCAGCCAGACTGCACTCGTCCGAGAGTCAACTTACTTCTATCTATTCTCCACTTTCTTTCATACAGAATAAACTGTTTCTACCACTTGGTATCTCCCTTCTTCTCTTCTCCTATCGAGCCGGGCCAGAAGGTCGCAGTTGCTAGGCTTTAACTTACTTAACCGTCTGCGATAGGCACAGTCCTTTCACAGCATCAACCAGATGGTACTCGACGTGTTATTTTAGTTCTTAAGTCAGTCGCTCACCAAGGTTGA